AAAAAAAAAAAAAAAAAACTATTTTAAGGGAGTAAAAAAGCAGTTCGTTGAGGTTGTCCTTCATGAATTTGGAGTATAATAATTTTTAATCATAATATTTATTCGACATGTTCTTCATTTTCGATTACAATATCAAACAATCTTACTTAAATGTAAGAAACGGTGAAAAGACGGGTAAAATCTCACGCACATGAAGCGAACCATAAGCAAAAAAAACCCAAATGAAGCTCAAGTGATGTTCCATCCCAAAATCAATTGATAGAATGAGGAGTAGTCTACTAGACATATAAAATAAATTAGGCATATTTTTCCTATATAAACGATGTGAGACGACTCACAAGTGAATATTTTAATACACACCCTCACTTATGGGTCCTTCATAAGAAGCCCAAGCCCATATATGGAGCCGAAAGCTCAAGCCCAACTGAGACGGGAAAAATGGGTACGTCATCGCACGGTCTCAATAGAACCGATTCTGATACCATGTAAGAAATGGAGGGAAAACCGGGTGCGGTCCTACGCACATGAAGCGTGGGAAAATAGGCCTATTTTATAAGTCTAGTGGGGAATCCTCCTTCCACCAATTGGTTTTGGGATGAAACCTCACTTGAGCTTCATTGCTAGCTTTCCATGTTTTGGCGTGCTTCATCTACGTTGGACCGCATCCATTTTTTTTCCCGTTTCTTACATGGTATCAGAGCCGGTTCTATGTGGGGCCGTGTGACGTACCCGTTTCTCAGCCTAGTTGGACTTGGGCACCCGACTATATGGCTTGGGCTTCTTATGAAGGATTCACATGTGAGAAGGCGTATTAGAATATTCACTTGTAAGTTGTCTTACATCGTCTATATATGGAAAATAAGCCTAATTTATAAGTTTAGTGGGCTACTCATCTTTCCACCAATTGAGTTTGGGATGAAATTACCTCTTTACGCCTCATCTAGGCTCACCCTGTTATGGTGCACTTCACATACGCGTGGGACTGCACCCGTTTTACCCCCATTTTCTTACAACATTTTTTTTTATAGAAGACAATAAATCACATGTGCCATTTGTGATAAGATTCTTATTCTTAGACCCATAGTCATTCCTTCCAATTTGAGAGTATCGCTGTAACACCCCACTTTGATTTTAATGAAATCCCGGGCTTTCCAATAATCAAGTAAACAATTTTCGAAATCATTTTAAAAATACATGGGTGTCAAACAACAATTTACTTAGTCCAAGTCTTATCTGGACCCACGGGGATTCATAAACCCAATTTTTCACAATTGTTTTTCATTAACCGGTTCCCAACACATAACATAATACTCAGCTTTAATCATAGAGCATGCATAAATTGGAATTTCATAAATCCAAACATCATGAGTGATTCAAATCCAACATAAACCAAAACATAAGTTCGAAACGAATTTTCAACAAGTCTCAACATAGTTCATGATAATGCGGAAGCAATAAAATAATTAAGGACCACCCACTCGTCTCACTTCATCACCCGCCAACTGCTTAACCTGCATCCGTGAAGAGCAGGTGGGAATGAGCACAAATGATAAAGTAGTGCTCACTACTATGCACATCAACAACATGTAAAGATGGTATGGTCACAGCATGAATATAAATCAATCATCATCATGTCTAATCTCCTAATAATCACAACAATAACTCACTCATGTGCACATCTATCATTAGCCGCAGAAAGGGGATGCATAAACCCTAACGACGGGAGTGCATGCCACTGTAACGGACACGACCTTTCATTAGGTCTTAAGGAGTCTTGTCTCGCAAGGGCAACCGTACCGTAACTCGACGGGGACAACCGTACCAACGGCCGTAACAGCTCACATCGGTAGGCCACATGGTTCACGTTCATACATTGGTCATACCAACTAAACATTAATCAACACGTATGGCATAGACAATTTTTATAAGTAAACCCACTTGGACAATAACAAGAAAGCACAACAATAACGGGTAGGCGGCGAGCTCGGCTCGTCAAGCACCTCCTTCAAGAAAACGAGAATGAGTAGAAAGAAGGACAAAGTTGCTCAGGATCTTGGGTTCCTTGCTTGAACTTGGTTTTCTCTCTTCAACCTCTCGACTTCCTCTTATTTCTCAAGAGTTACTATAATTTGCTGAGTGTTTGCTCTCTATTCTCAGCTAAGGAATGATAATTATAATGTATCTCAATTAGGGTGGAGACAAAATGGTAGAAATGGTATGCAAATGGTTGTTGAACTTCTCACATGCACATTAGGTGTTGTCTAGTTGACTTGATTGTCTTTATGCTATTATACTCTACATTTGCTGAGATTTGCTGAACCAAAATGATCTTGTTTGGTCTCACATGATGTAAGAACGTGCCTTAATCAACTCTTAGGTAGATCAAGACAAAATCTCCAACTAATGACATAAAAATATTGTTTCTAGCACATGTCACACTTGTCACCACATGTTGTTGACTTCTCATACATTTCCACCTAACTAAATTGGCTCAAACCACTCTTAACCTATTTGGTTATACTCACAAAAGACATGGCTCGAAAAATTATGGCCATACAATGAGCCATTGGCCCAAGAAATGTGAGTGGCTCGGTGTTATTACCTCCGGCAATACATTTCACAAGATGAGGCTCTAACTCTTATAGATAAGTATGAATTCGGTCTTGATGGCTGAAAATATTATTTAAGAGATAAAATATAATGTTCTTACTGTCTGGTTGAAACGAGTCGAAGTTCGAGTCGCAACAGTTCTAAAACGAGTTCAAACGAACAAAAATTCGGCTTACGCGATTACACCGAAAATTCAAACTGCGACTGATAAAATAAAACCGAACGAGCTATATAATCACAGTATCCATATAATATTATAAAATATAATCTCAAAATTAAGATTCGATAAATAGAATAATCCAAGAAATTCTATAAATCGAACGGGGCGCTACGATCGCTCAAGTTTCAAAATTATTGATTTAATGTTCAATTCACCTATTATCAGGCTACCAATCTTATGATTTCCATGCAGATATAATTCATATAATTTTTTTTTTAATTTTTTTTTGCAAGTATAATTCATATAAATTAACCCTACTTGAATTATAATTCATATAAATTAACATGCTATAAAATATCAAAATTCATTGGCGCACCGCAGTCACCACCATTTTCATTTATACCGACCAAATCACGCAGAAAAATTTACATTTGAACAACCCAAAACTTTTATTAACTCCAACAGCCAACTCACAGGAGCATGCGCACATGATGTATGTGCCAGCAACTATGAATTAATTAATTAATGAACATAAAAGAAGATCAGTTTTGCTATGGAGCCATCGGATGGTTCGACTTATGGAACAATCCACAATTATTCACCAATAGTGTATTGACATGTGTCCTACAATAAATACAATTTGGACATGTGTCAATATATTAAGCGATTGATGGCTCCATAAGAAAACTATTCGATTGTTCCATAGAATTTTTGCATATATATATATATATATATATATATATCTTCTTGTATTTATGGCGGGTTAAAAATTTGGTAAGAACCCCTATTTGTAATTTTGGAGTATATTAATAAAGGTAAGATTATAATATATGCCTAACAAATTGGGTTAGACAACAAATTTGCCCAAAAAAAGAAAGTGCAATTCCAAAGGCCAGAGTGTAAATAAAATATTTTGAATTTGATTGGATTTATTGAATAAAAAAGTAAGTTAATTTTTTTAAAAAAAAAAATTGATTGAATTCGTATTTAAATAATATTTAAAATATAAAAATTGAAATAGATGTAACGTAAGAGTATGAAAAATATGATTAAAAGTAATGGATAGATAAAATTATCTGAGTAAATAAATAAAGACTTAAAGTTGATATAATGTATGAAGATGATTGATTTATATTATTTAAAAATACAAAATATTGAGGAGAATTGAGTTGTATTATGTTTAAGTTGAATTGTGACTTAAAAATTATCTGGTCAGTCGTTACAGGATACTAGTATTTGATCATGTGCACATGCACACGGGAAACAAAAGTTTATACTATTATATGTACAAATGGATAGGAGGAGATATTTGGACCAAACATGCATGAAACTTTATTGGCAGGCTACAAGAGTTTTGCAGTAAGAGATCTTCCCACACTTTCAAATGTGGTCCACTGTTTTTCTCATTCAGAACTTACCTAAGATAGGAGAAAGTAAACTGAAAATGTATGCAGTCTTATTTTGTTTCCTTTTTTTTTTTTCCATTTTTTCTCTTTTTATACATCAGCGTGAAAGGTCACCCTGAAGACTCGTTTTCAACCGGTGTTCTGTTTCGGAAATGAATGCTAGCAATGCTTCAGATCCATTGCTCATCTGATACAGTAACAGGAAATCATATATTCGGTTAAAGAAAGCCCTTCGCGCAAATTACTTTGAATGGGTATTGGTAATTAAAGCTTGTAAAAGTTTAGGAAGTCTTAAATCTTACCAGAGAGTAACTAGTAGGAAGACTCGATTTTGACATTTACAAGATAAAACAAAAATATCACTAGGAAGGTGGAAGTGCACGGCGGCATGTAGGGCATTCCATTTTTATGTCCATCCACCTTTGCAGACAGCACGAGTGAAAGAAATGGTCGCATGGCGTCACCTATAACAAAATAATCACATATTTGAATCAAAATTGACGGTTTCACAAAATATTATTATCTCAAGATTAAAGAAATAAAGAGTAAATGCAATACACTACCATGCAATCACTTGAATGTAGGCCGAACTCGATGGTGTTCATGCAAATAACACAGTCTATGGCCTGATTCGATCCCTGAGGGTATTTCCGGTAATAGCTGTATTTTTCTGGCAAAACCTGCATGTAAACATCATTAAATAGACCAAAATTAGGTGTAACCAGAAAACGGAGAAAAAAAAAAGGAAGGAAGGAAAGAAAGGATGAGTAAAAACAAACCTGGCGAGGAATGAAGCACCGAGCTCCAAAATAATGCTGGAGAAGAAGAATAGAGGCTTGGAGTCCCATAAAAAAGGCCAAACAAATACACCAACTGCTGTTAGGCTCTATCCGCATGAAATTATGAGGGCAACCAAATACATACAGCGGGATAGCAATGCGTGTGGCTGTTATCCCAAGGATATAATAAGGATGCAATGGTTTTCTCGAGTCACGAATCACATTAATGCATATTTGAGGGATCCAGAAAGAGTGGAGGAGGAGGAGAATAACCCGTAAGAACTTATGAAACTCGTACATTATGAGAATGCCACCTAAAAGGATCGCATCTGATTGAGTTGACCAACAAAAGATCGAGAATTAAAATCAGATATTTATCCAGCCATGTAAATAAAGCAAAAGAAGAGCTGGGGTCTATTTAAAATGAATACATAGGGTCTATATAAACATATTTCATGAAGCAGTACTTACAGAAACGGCTGTAAAGGGCTGAAAGCTCGCGCCTCATGACATCCCAATTCTCTCCATTTGCGGGTCTGTTTGCCTTCCATATTGCGAGAAGGTAGCGCATTTCAAATATTGAAAAGACCACAAACTTGAAAAATGCGGCAGTTGCAAAAGCATTAAACAGGGATTCTGTAGCAAGGGCAAATATAAGCTTTTGTTTTCATATATATATTATAACAAGAAATTCATAAAGAGGGGCGGACCTCAATAGTGACAACGAATTATGAATCCATAACATAAAAAAAGAGACTGGCTTGGCTCCTAAGTAAACATACCGACTAGAATTCCAGCTGTAAGATGCAGAAGACAAATATAAGCATCCATTATAGCTTGATGGCCAACCATCAGAAGTGAAACTTTGGCAGTCCCCTGGGAGAAAATTCAGCAAGTAAAGCTTTATTTTTACTACGTGATATAAAGAGTAACAAACAGACATTGAATTACTACAATTAGTAAAAAGCAGCTTTTTCATCCCAAAAAAAAAAAAAA